CATCAGGGTCGCTCCAGCCGGAGTGGGTTCTTTTCATGAAGCCGCGTTGGCGACACACTTAAGTCAATGGAAAGATCGGCGCAGTCCGAACAAATATATCACGAGGCACCTTTTCTGACTCAATCACATGGGAGAATATGCTCCTTAGTGCCTGTGTAATCGATTTGCTTTTATTCGTTCACGGCGATGTCATCCCTGCCCGATGGGCCAATTTGTGCTGTTTTGTGAGTGTAAACAAAGGAAGTTAATCGAAGACGATTTCTTCCCGGCAGAATTTGTCTCACTTTATCAAGACAAAATATTAATAGCGCAAAAGCTCAAGAGAGCGGCGGGCTACACGAAAGCATGAGCGCAAAAGCTGAGCTCGAACTGCCATTTAATCAGGTGCGAGCCTCCTCACTGGTGGCAAACGTCTGATTAGATTTGAAGATGGAAAGCCATTAGGTGGGTAATGACTTAAGTGCCGGTTCTCCTTGGGAAGTGATTTATCCGGAGCGCCGCGGCTCGGACCGACCGGGAGTTGGAGTCGCCAGTTGCGGGGCCAGCGTTCATCAATCACCACGTGCGCCGTGGCCCGATCGACGGCTGGCTTCTCCACACGCGTGACGTGATTGTACTCGTCGACGAATCTTCTTCTCTGGCAGGGTTCTTCGTCACCCCCCGCAGCGCTAACGCATCGACGTCTTTTTGTTTCTCCGTGGGCCGCCCCTGGCACTTAAAATATTGAAAGTGGCGGCTTGAAATTGTTTTTCCCTTTGACGAGAGTCAAAGGCGCATTCGTTAGTCTGCTCTCTGCCGATATTCCAACACAAATAAGCTTCCGCTCATTTGCGACGTGGAGGCGGCCATGTCAATCCGTCTATCTACCGGGAAATCTCCAAAGAAGATAATCGGTCCCCGCTGGACATAATCGAATCTGCAATCATAAAATAAACCTTTGCTGTCAAAAAAGAGCGTCAAACTAGGTTACCCATTGATAATTAAAAAAAATACACATCTTTCTTCAAATATCTCTCTTAACGCTAACGAGGAAGGCACCCAAAAGGAAATTGCCTCCCTCCCTTTATGAAGTTAATGAGGATTGAATACGCAACAAGAAAAGCCAAAGAAAAAGCATAACAGGGAGTCCATTGAGGCTCACTGACGGACGGCAGTGTTCTATGTAAATATTTCACCCCACCCCAAAAAAATAAAGAAAACACAAAATGAGAGTGGTACAAAATGTGACAACAGTGTGCTACACAAATGTGAAAAATAAAAACAGGACTGACATCTGAACGCAACACAAAAACCCGAAAAAGAGTGAACGCAGTGTGATACATGAACATGTCTAAAATTATGCGTAAAAAAGTGAGTAAATTGAAAATTTTTGCTCTCAATTCACAAAAAAAAAAAAAAAAATCATGAGTGTCAATGTATTTCGAAAAACCAATTTTTTTAAAGACCTTAACCTTATATGTAAGATGTCAAGTTCCATCCCACCACTTTTTTTTTTTTTAAATCAATCATCTGAAAGATGATTGATGATTGTGAGTGGTAGGACGTCTAAAAAATTCGGACCTCACAGGGTGGACTAGGGTGAGTGTGTTGATAGGCACAAGCGGGGGCTGCTGTTTTCAAAGGTTACTGTATTGACTGTGGTGGCAAAGTTTTTTTTTCCTCTAAATTTATTTTCAAAAACAGAAGGGAAACTTCCAAGGAGCCAGGATAACCCACGTGGGCTCCCCTCGGGGCGGAGTGGGATACCGGTAACTGAAAAGACGACACCCACACCGGAAAAATGACAAACACATAACACGATTATCTCTCCGCTCAACTGACAGCCTTTGACATATTCGATTATAACATGATGATGTCACTTATTTCCATGGTGTTGACTAAAAGACAACTGGACCTTCTTGTACAGGGGTGGGCAACGCCAGTCCTCGAGGGCCCGCAATTCTCTATGCTTTATATGTTTCCTCACCTGAGTTAAAAGATCAGGATCATTATCAGGCTTCTGCAGAGCTTGCCGATGAGCTGATCATCTAAAACAGGTAGCATAGACCCCCCCCCCCCAAAAAATGCTCTGGATGGTGACACTGGGCGTGGGAAAGTTTTTCGACCCTTTAAAAAAGGCAACCAACATGAAGAAGCGGGTTCAGAAGTTTGCGAAGAGAAAGTCCACGGAGGGTTGGAAGCAGATCCAAGCCGTCCGGAGGTGATTTAGCACCTGACACGGGTGAGCCCGCTAAGCTCAATAGCACTAAAAGGCTCATCCTGTCTAATGGGGTTCCTCAATGACGCACAAGCCTGTTCCTTGTCTGCTCCTCTGACATACCACACGCATTCATTGGCTTGACAGTGGGATGGGCACACGCCCGCATGCAAATTAATGACTCACTAAAATAGTCACAACTTTTCTCTTTGAAACGCCGTGGTGAACAAATTCACTCGCAAATAAATAAATTCATAAATTCATTTTTACAAGCAAAAAAATGGTTTTCTCCACTTTCTGCTCTGTGTCAACGTCCAAATTGTGAAAATATCACATGAGTGATTCCCAAATGGTCATTTTATGACAAATTGCTATTGCTCCAGTTTTGGTTCTCAATGAAGAGATGGGATTCGGCCACTGTTTCTGTGCAGGGGCAAATATTTTCTGGTGGGTTACACGTGGAAAAAATCTTGTAAAATCCTCAAGTATTTTGGGTGAGAAAGTTGTTCAGGTAGCAGTTTTGCAAAAAACAACTGGACTACCCGGAGGTGATTTAGCACCTGACACGGGTGAGCCCGCTAAGCTCAATAGCACTAAAAGGCTCATCCTGTCTAATGGGGTTCCTCAATGACGCACAAGCCTGTTCCTTGTCTGCTCCTCTGACATACCACACGCATTCATTGGCTTGACAGTGGGATGGGCACACGCCCGCATGCAAATTAATGACTCACTAAAATAGTCACAACTTTTCTCTTTGAAACGCCGTGGTGAACAAATTCACTCGCAAATAAATAAATTCATAAATTAATTTTTACAAGCAAAAAAATGGTTTTCTCCACTTTCTGCTCTGTGTCAACGTCCAAATTGTGAAAATATCACATGAGTGATTCCCAAATGGTCATTTTATGACAAATTGCTATTGCTCCTGTTTTGGTTCTCAATGAAGACATGGGGTTCGGCCGCTGTTTCTGTGCAGGGGCAAATATTTTCTGGTGAGTTACACGTCGAAAAAATCTTGTAAAATCCTAAAGTATTTTGGGTGAGAAAGTTGTTCGGGTAGCAGTTTTGCAAAAACAACTGGACTATATAAACAATATGCAAATTACTTGGTTGACTAATTTTAGTGCACTTGATAAATAAAAGTCCAAAAAATTCAAAGAAGCCCTTGCATATCTGGTCGAAAATTCGAGATTGTGTGGTTTTTTTTTGCACCAAGATGCAAAGATGGTGGCAAAAAAGAAATCCTGTTACTGGTGGTTTTTGAACCATTTTTTTTAGCCTTAGTTAGTTACGTTTGAAGTTACGTTTGAAGATACACACACATGCGGTGGCTAATGAAAAGGAACTGAGACGACAGTGCATGACAAAGAGTTGTGTAATTGCTTTGGAGAAACAGCAGCCATCGATCCGAGGACGGACAACTCGTTTGCTCAGCGCGTGGGCAGCAGCAGCCCGTCGCCCCCCCCGACCTCCCCTCCCTGTCGTTTGTGGCTCCAATCACTCCATTAGCTCAATAGACTTTGATGCTTCGCTCTTGTTATCACACGCCATGCTCATGTTGGGAGCGGAGATGGCGTGAGACCACCAAAACACGCTGACATCAGCGTATAAGTGGTGAGTCACGTCACGTCATTGCATAAGCTTATGAAGGAAAGCGGCAGTGTTTTAACAAACTATTTGAACAAAGTTATGTTTGAACAAACCAGCGCAGTGGTTTTGAAGTAATATTCCGAAGGAACATTGGTTTCACAAACATTTTAGTGTCGAGGCGTTTCAACGAACAATTTGTAACTAAGATTTCAGGACTATTTTAGAAACCCGTCTTGGGACTGCGGCTGAAAATTAGCATTGATGCTAAGTCCGGCGCTTTTACACTGTTTATTTTTGGGCTGATGAATGTGCAAAGTCCCAATGAAATAAATAAATAAGTAAAATGAGACAATGTTTTCATGAAAAAGTTTTAATGAATATTTTATTTTGGTAGGTGTTTTTAAGTGTAGTTTTAACAAACATTTAGCATTTAGCCATTGTTTAACAAGCATTTTTAGCGAACATTTCTAAATATGTGTGTGTGTGTGTGTGTGTGTGTGTGTGTGTGTGTGTGTGTGTGTGTGTGTGTGTGTGTGTGTGTGCATATAAATAACATGTCAATGCTCCTCTTGTTTCCTAACAACTGGGAATAATATTAGCAAACAGAAGCAAAGCAACATGACCACAGGTAGCTGAGAGAACTCCGAAGCAACGCGGAATTAGCGTCATTTCTACTCGACGTGTACGTTCATCGCATCTTTTTGATTTTTAATTGATTGGATATAAAAAAAAAAAACATTCAACCAAATACATTTTGTGTTTTAATCACACTCTATTATGAATAAATCAGGCTAACAATGTAGCAGCTGTGGCATAGAACACGTTATAAAGAACTTTTTTGACTTGACTTCCCCTTCGGATAAGTTAGTGAAGCTATGTCATAAGAAATACTCTTTTTTAATGATGTTCATTATAGACAAATGCAATGTCAAAAGACAGTTAACTTTTAAGGATGCTTGTTATAATATTTTTTTCAAGTTCTGCTCAACATTGTCTTAGCTTCCATTCGCTCAATCGATGTGGATTTCTCGCTCTTATTACGCAGCTCGCCTTGGTGCAAACACGTCGTGGGATGCCAAAAATCGCTATGCCAAAGTCTGAGCGGTGAGTCACATTGCAGAAGCTTATGAATGAGTGCCTCAATGTGTAGTGTGCTCCCTCACCAGTAGATGGCCCCGCCCCCGCCTAGTGAAAAAAAGTGTTGTGGTGGTGGTGGTGGGGGGCTGCCCTATCGATTTAAGCAACGTAACTTTGCCCCTGCTGCCCATTTAATGAATGACATCAATGCAAATGAGGCGGATTTTTGTGAATGGAGTGGCTCTGCGGATGACGTCCGCGTGTCTCGCCGCCCTCCCATTGGCTGCCGTCGAAACCAGCTCATCGCCCCATTGGCTGGGCTGCGGGATAATTACCCACCTCCACAGCCGATGCACAAACCCGGGTGGCGGGATATATAGGGGGCCACTGCTTCGCCGCTACACGCAAAAACACAGCTCGCAGCTCCTGTTCCGGACCCCCCTAAAAAAATAATAATTTTAAAAAGAAAAAGAAAAAAAAGCCCACATATTTGAGATTTATTTATTTTTGGTGCTTCTCGCCGAAGGTGAGTATTTGCTTTGTGATGATATGATATGTGGTTATCATGATTGCAACCGTAGCCAAAAAGTGGGTTAAAAATGAGGGGATGAAAAAAAGTCTACGGGATAGTTGTGTGTTTGTGTTTGTGTGTGTGTGTGTGTGTGTGTGTGTGTGTGTGTGTGTGTGTGTGTGGGTGGGTGTGTGGGTGAGGGAATGGCAGCTCATTACACTAATGCACTGGTTCCTCAGGGAAGCTTGGATGGAGTCGCCACCTCTTCCTCTTTTCTGTCATCCTCTCCATCCTTCACGCTTTTTCTTCTCCTCCTCCTCCCTCCGCTTAGATTTTATGGTTGTCTTTTAAATGACATTTGAAACAAAGATTTTCGCATGGTTCTATTTGAACTAACAGTTTGAACAAACATTTATAGCCTAGTTATGTTTGACCAGACCATTACTTAGTGTCAGTGGGTGTTAATATGTTAGCATCATTACGTTTTGAACATTTTTTTCTTGTCATTAGTCTTTTTGGTTTGTAATTTTCAAGGGACATTTTTGAACTAACATCTTAGCGTAGGTATTGTATGCTTTAATGACAGTAAAAACATTTTACATCGTTATGTTTTAACAGACATTTTAAGATGTATTTTTTTTAACCAATATTGCAATGTAAAAATGTGAATCAATATTTTTAACAATTTTTTTGTTTCTTTTAATTAAAGTGGGATAGGTCCGGCCAAATATTTTATCAGAGTATGGTTCAAGATATTTTAATGACATTTTACCTTAGCTATGTTGGACTGTATATACTAATGAGAATTTTTAAATTTAAGTTTAAGTGCAGGAAAACATTTAAAGAAAGCCTTTTGCATAGTTTTGACAAACAATTTTTACCTACACTAATTTAGCGCAGTTATGGTTTTAACTAACATTTTAAATTTCAAGCAGTGTTGCTTCCTGAGTTTCGAACACGTATTTTTGTATTTTTTCATTTTAGTGTAGTTTTTCTTTCACAAATATTTCTTTCCGACAGTTTTATCAATTATGATAGTCACGAACATTTAAACAAAACACTTGAGTGTTTTTTTGGGGGAGAACAATTTTGAACTCCTTTCAGCATCATATGACACCCTGAACTGGTTGCCAGCCAGTCGCAGGGCACACATAGACAAACAACAACCATTTGCGTTCACAATCACACCTCGGGACAATGTAGTGCGTCCACTCAATCTCCCATACATGTTTTTGGAATGTGGGAGGAAACGAGAGTACCCAGAGAAAACCCACACAGGAACCTCGGCGCCGGAATCAAACCCTGCACCTCTGCACTGTGAGGCGGATGTGCCAAGCCGTCGACCACCATGCCGCCCCATCAAATTCTATTTCAACTAGAATTGTTTTAATGAACATTTTAACATAGCCACGATATGTTTCATTAATTTAGATGGAGTCACCACCTCCTCGACATCCTCCTCGCTGTCACCCTGCCAACTCTTCATCCTTCTCATACACATATCGATGCCCCCACCCCCAAACACCCACTCAACACACACACACACACGCACGCACGTACACTCCTGCAGCCATGTCCTACCCGCCAGAACTGGCAGTACTTCCATCCTGGTGGGATGCTTTCAGGGATATTAAGAATTGTCAGGAAATGGCACTTTTGGGGGGTGTGCTTACAAGTATGCGTGTGTGCGTGCGTGTGTCATGCAGGGAGGGTACTATGGTCATGCTGAAGATCTCGGCGTTCCTCATCACATATGCTCTGGTCATCTGCCAGATGTACTGCTCGCAAGCTGCCCCCGCCAGGTAAGAATATGGCGTTAGCCGACACTCGCTGTTTGTTAAAATGGGACGAGAACAAGAACCAACAACATGCGTACATTGTGGGTGATAACGGAGCGAGTTGAAGGAGATGTCACTTTGCTGTCAAAGCTAATCCATTTAAAAAGTTGTTGCATCCCATTACGCTAATGTCATTTCCAGGCAGATTACGATAATGTAATAAAAACAAGGAAAGAGTGTTTAATGCAAGTCTACACGGTCATTTGGAAACTGTTGTTGTGGTCAAGAATCTCCACTAACACCCGTTTAAAGTAATAGAACAAGACAATTACTGTAGGTACACCTGATAATTGCAGCAATAAAAAAGCTGCATTAAAAAAAAAATCTGGCTTTAAAAATGTTTTCGTAATGCTCAATAATTTTTTGATTTTTCTTTTCTTAGTTGTATTATTAAAAAAATACCTTTTAAATTAACTCAACTGTATGAAAATATGCTCAGTTATTGTACTCAGGTATGTTCAAAAAATGTAACAATATTTTTGTGTTATTTTTAGTCAAAATTGCCATTAAAATAATATTCAGTTAAGTTACTGTTTGGAAAAAAAAATATTATTATTACCATTTTATTCTTAGAATTCTTTTTTTCAAATGACTAAAGCTATGTTAAGGTTCTAGTTGAAAAAATATTGGATTTTCAACTGTTATTTTGTATTATTATTATTATTATTATTATTATTGTTTTTAATGATACATGACAATATAACTGTACGTTATGCAAAATTTTATTTATTTGTCACTTAAAAAATTACTTTGTTGTCAGTTTTTATTGATTGATTTTAAACTGCAAAATTGTTTTCCAACTGTATAGCACATCTTGTATGATAAAGTGCTATACAAATAAAGTTCAGCCGAGTTGACAGCGTCAGTCGTCCATCCAAAGTCAACTTTTGTGGAGGCACACTTTTTGGGTTACTTGGGATTGTGCGGGTGGAGCCACTGTGATGTCTAAACATATGCATTTCTATATTTACACGAGTCCTGGCAAAAGCATCAGTATATATCTAAAGGCAGATACACATTAAGACGCCGGGGCACTTTGTGCAGATTGTTTTGCTGCGTTGGCGGGCAGCCCTCCAACACCGACATCATCCCTCCTTGGCCGGTGACATCACACGAGCCACCTTGACCCCACCCACACACGCATCCAACATCCAACCATCCCTATTTGGCCAGGGACCACTCAACCCTTCCTCGAACGTGACGCATTTTTTTCCAATAAATCTCACACATTTTTAACTCAGTATTTGAGGGTAGTTATTTTTGTTCAACATTTTCCACAAATATTTTACTTATGGTTCAACTAACATTTCTTAGCTATCACATTACTGTAGTTATGCTTGAACAAACATTTGAACATTTCAGAGTAGTTTGAATGAACCTTTTTTTTTAAAACATTGATCAAATTTGTTCTAAGCATTTTAGTGCTATTGTTTCATGAAAAAAAAAAAAAATCTCGATCCTCGACTTATCATGACCATTTTAGCAAAATTGTTTAACCAAAAATATTTTAGCTACAATGTTAGCTTAGCCATGTTTCAACAAACATTGACCATGCAACATTTTAGTGTGGTTATGTTTGATTGACTTTTTGTTAGCTACCATTTTTGCATAGTGATTTTAGTGACGTTAGTTTTTTATTGACCTTTTTTTAGCTACTTAGCTATTTAGCTACTTAGCTACTTAGCTATTTAGCGTGGTTATACATTTTAAAACATTTTTAAAGTAACATTTTAAGTTAAAAAAACATTTGATTGACGTTATGTTTAAACAAATATTCAATGAACATTTTAATCATCTTGTAACAAAAACGTTAGTCTAAATTTTTCTGCAAACCTTGCTTTAGTCCCCTTTTAGCGTCGTTATTTTCATGGTCATTCTTTAACAAACATTTTCAGAATGGTTACATTTAAGGAACGATTTTCAACTGAATTTTAGTGTAAATGTGTTTAAAGGATCCGATGAAAAGCAGTCCTGGACATTTTTAATGTACATTTTAGTGTAGTCTTGTTTTAATCAACAAATTATACCAAACATTCCAACATATTGATGTTCACGTTAAAAAAAAAAAAACAACGAATTTGTTAACGTCGTTACGCTTGTAAACTTTTGGTGCGGCCATTCTTTGTTTGCCACCTGCAGACCGGCATTGGAGTCCATGTCGGAGAGGGTGACGCTGACGGATTACGAGGCGCGGCGGCTACTCAACGCCATCGTCAAGGAGTTTGTGCAGATGACGGCCGAGGAGCTGGAGCAGCAGCAGCAGCAGGCGGCTGAGGGCAACAGGTACGTCTTTCGGCTCATATTGTTAGGATCATTAACATATTGCGAGAACCTTCTAATGACCGACCCCTTCTGTATTTGTCAACCGATTCAAACGATGCCAAATTTAAAACTCAGGACATTAGGAGCTACATTTCGACATTTCACAAATTTCCACTTTTTCCCTCAGTTCCGCACACACGCACACACACAACCCTTTTTGAATGAATGAGACATTTAAAAGAAGTTCCTCATACCTCACGTTTCATCTTCAAAATGTTGAGCACATTCAAGACTTCTACGGAACTATTGATCACGTTTTCAAATTGTCAATATTTTCACCATAAAATATCCAAATCGAGAAATATTTGACAATGACCAATTGACCTCCTCCTTCCACATTTCTTGACTGATCTGAACCACGCCAATTCCAAACCGTTGAACTCAATCAGGACATACTGTACAGTAGATGGAAGTATTGATCACATTCCCCAAATGCTTTCACATTAACATTCCCAAACTAATAAATTAACGCATTTGACATGTTTGCCTTCTCCAACAGTTCTTGACAGATTCTATTCTTGACTATTCTGACTTTAATCTGTATGGCTCATTCAGGACATGACAGCGCGAGCATAACATTCCCCAACCGCATTCCTGCTTCAAGTTTTCCATATTTAAACATTCAAACGATTCTATTCCACAGCCTTTCAGTTCAATATCACATCTTCAGCATCAACGCGGTACTTCGAAAAGAAATTGCATCCTCGAGTTATCATTATTCTTGCGAGTGGTTCGACTCACACATGCCACAGCAGTCACGAAGGCACTCCCGCATGAACGACTTGCTCCGAATTAGTCGAGCTACTTTGAATGAAGTGTGCATGATAGTTTCGCATGAGAATGGGGAGCAACTGTTCGTTTGACTGTTATGTATTAAAAAAAAGTTTTAAAAAAGGGTGGGGGTAGTCGGTGTGTAGGGGTGCATTACATTTGCATGAAAGGATGGATGGGTGGTCATGTAGTGAGCATGATGCGAGGAAGGGACATTCTGGTCTTAAGTGGTTTGCTGGCACGAGACAGATTGGCATGCCTGCAATGAACGTGCGAATGGAATGAAGAGGGTTGGGGGGGAGGGGGAAATGGAAAAAAAATATACTGTCTGTACTGTGTAGAAAATGCATGGTTGGAGACAACCGCAATGTATCCCACCGGAGATCTTTGGACTTGCTCAAGCAATGCAGTATGTTGGTCTTACCAAACATTTTTAAGCTGCAACGTTAACCTAGTTATGTTTTAAGATGTTAAATACTTTCTTTTTAATCCGAAATATGAACACTAATGTTTTTTTTCAACGAATCTATTCTATTAATTTTTTTGATAGATAAGATTTAGGCGTAGTTATGTTTCAATAAACATCACATTTTAGTGAAAATTAGCAAACTATTCTATCAAATATTTGACATTTTTGAAAAACTTGTTTGAACAAATGTAAACTAGCATTTTAGCGTAAATGGGTTATAAAAATACTTGAGCATAATTATGTTTTAGCAATGTTTTCTTTCTAATATATTAACATGCCGTATTTACTCACATTTACCGTATGAGTAGCATTTCATTAACCTGTGAGTCACTGTATGTCGCTGGCATAGATAGATGAACAAAGCATTACTTGTAGTAACGAAATAATTTTCACACCAATTTGGTGAATTTTCCTGCGGCAGGCCCGATGATCTCTCATAATGTCCAAAAACTCCCAAGATCTCTGGTGGGATCCAATGAAATCTTCCTGCATGTCATTGTTTTCTTTTCTCCCGCCTGATCCCGCCCCTGTGCATGTGATCTGTATGTATTGTGTACCCCGATTCTGACAGCATGGCCCGGCCGCTAACCAAGCGCTGCTCCAACCTCAGCACCTGCATACTGGGCAAATTCTCTCAGGAGCTGCACAAGTTGCAGACGTTCCCTCGCACCAACGTGGGAGCGGGAACGCCCGGCAAGAAGCGCGGCGCTCCCGATGGCGAGCGCTACGCCAGCTACGGCGAGACGTTTGACGCCGTCTAACCACGCCCCCTTTTACGCCGTCCTCCTCTGCCCCCCCCCCCTGCCCCCCCCCTGCCCCTCAACCCCCCTTCCGCAACCTTGCTATGTCATGACCTCCCAGTCGTCCTCATTGGCCAGCGCATGTTGGCGTAGCTTGCCTGACTGGCGTGAAGTGAAAAGAAACAGGCGGCCATCTTTGGTCTCAGACTAGGGCTGGGCGACGAATCCATTTCATTGAGTAATTTGAATTTGGTTTAGTTTGTAAAGAAAGTTAATCATGATTATTTTCTCGCAGTAAATAGATTTCCAAATAACATTTTAACAATGTCGAGCAGTGCATTTGGAAGCTGGACCATTAACACTATACAGAGATGCAACAGAACAGCGGGCATCTGTACTAAGTACATCCTCTGGAGCATTTCAAAAATTAATTTACCTCATCGCAAGGCAATAACATAAAACATTTCAATGTAATACATCACGCTCACCAGGTATGCCGATATTATTAATGTAATCAGAAAACACCGATATTAGTGTGGGCCAGTTTGCTGGCTCTCTAAGGACAAATATGAACTCTAGTTGGTTATAATCGCATAATTCACTGACTTTTTTTTAACCTATGCTCCCACTGTTCACAGAAAATTATCCACTGTTTTTAATGCTAAATCTACGACTATAATCTGATGACATCGTTTGAGGAATTTAATTTCAACCAAAGGAGTCATTTGCCGCCATCTTGTGGCATCTTTGCGCAATTACAGAACAAAGGCAAATAGCAAATAGCTGGGCTTCACTTTGAGTACAAATCCCATTTCAGACTTTTTAATGAACTATGCGCACCCTGTATCTTAACGGTGAACAAAGTATGGCCTGCGGGGCAGGTACAGCCCAATTTCTTCTTTAACCTGGTCCACATTTTCCTAAAATTGGTTAAGTAAACTAATTAATTCATGTTCTCATTTTAAGAGTGTCACGTTATTCTTACATGTGGAGCAGCCGAGCCATGTACTGTAATACGACAACTCGTTTTCTGTACATTTAAAATTTTATTATGGATTGTGTGACATATATTTAAACAGAATGGATTTTTTTTTCTTCCCAAGAGAAATACGTATTTTCACATTATTGTATCTTTGAGGGGAAAGAAAAGAATTTATTTCTATTATTTTCTGGAAGTTGATGCAATTTAACGCTGGGACAAAACTGTTTCTAATCTCATTCAGTATGAGAAGAACTAAAGCAATTCTCAAAGGGAGGGGAAAAAAACTGACAAATTGATAGAAATGTTCCTATAACTGAAGAGGGGAAAACATGTTCAAGTGAAAATCGGATTATAAAAAAAGAGATTTTATTTTGAGGCCATGTCACCCAGCCCTAGGTCAGACAATCACGTTCTTTGCTGTACACCACCAGAGACATGTGAGCACACGCACTCACGTGCACACACACACACACACACACACACACACACACACACACACACACACACACACACACACACACACACACCTACTTCTTCGCATGTAACGTTAATCAGCAAGCGCCGCCATGTTGCTTGTTCAATAAACATATTTTTCTACCAGGAAGCCTTAGCTGACTTTCATTCAAAAGCCTTAGCTGACTTTCATTCAGTGCGGAACAGTGTGCCCAGGACGATCAACTCATTTACTTTTAAGGAAAGCCAAAGGAAGCAAGCAAGAAAGAACGAACAAAAGAAATAAGGAAAGAAATAAAGACAGAAAGAAATAAAAACAAAAAGAAAGACAGAAAGGAAATCATGGCATCCCATCAGCCAGCCCAGCATATATTATCCTAAAGTAAGAACATCAGAACTAAAAAATATCTATCCAATGTAACCACAAGTCCACACACATCTGTTGTGACAGATCATTTTAGCATGTGTTCAAGTTATCTTTTTAAACGAACATTTGAGCGTAGTTATGTTGGAACTAATATTTTTTTATTAGTTGAAATTCAGCATAGTTGTAGGATGTTGTAACATTTTTGACAAACATTTTAGCGTGGTTGTATAACTACAATTTTTAGGTAACATTTGGGTGTAGTTATGTTTTACTCAACATTCTATAAATCAATATCTTAGCATAGTTATGTTTTAGCAATATATTTTTTAAACAAACATTTGAATTATTACTAACTTAGAAGTAACATTTTAGCATTGTTAGCATAGCGCTAAAAAAAACAAGAGAGAGGTTTTGCATCAGCACAAAAGGCCAAACCGCAGAGAAAGATCAGTGTTGATAAAAATGACGAAAATATTGATGTACTTCAACTTTGAATTTTTACATAAATCATCATAACCACCTGCTCCGCTTACCCTGAAGCAGCGTTACAGCACAGAAGCGAGCCTGCAATACAGCCACCTGCGTCACCCACCGCCTGGCCGACTTCCTCAGCCGGTCGGGGGGGATGGGCAACAGCAACTTTGTGCCCACCAACGTCGGCGCCAAAGCCTTCGGCCGGCGGAGGAGAAGCATTGTCATGTGAGCACCTGGACGCAAAACGGTAAACGGACACATTGGGTATCAATTTGGATAACGGGCACATTATCAAACGGTAAATGGACAAGTCAGGAGGGGTGGCACAAATTTAGCAAATTATAGCTAACATTTTAGCCTAGCTATGTTTTAAAGACCAATATTCTAGCCAAGTTATGTTTTAACAAATCTTTTTAAATAACATCTTAGCATATGTATTTTATAGTAATATTTTAGCATGATGTTTTATGACATATTGAAACTAATAATTTAGCAGTCATTTTTAGAATTTTGTAACATTCATGCAGTATGTAGTCATAAATAACAAAATGTATACATGGTAATATAGTTGTTTTAACAAACAGTAGCTTTTTTTTAACCAAACATTTAGCATTGTTACGGTACATTTTATTGTATTTATTGCAACATTTCAATTAACAATTGAACTGCTGCAGTATGTTTTAACATAATTTTTAAACAGGTTTTTGCATCACGATGTTTTAAGTAACAATGGAAACATACTTTGTCATAACATTTGACTGGAGTTCAATTATAAATAAAAATTTTTGTGCAATTTGAACAAAAAAATTTTAAACAAATATTTGATTGTGCTTAAGTTTTTTGCATACCTTTTTAAACATGTTTTAACCACTATTTCTGAGTAGTTGTAGGTGTGTTTTTTAAAACTAGCGCTCCAGGGTCAATAAAAATCGAAAATATTTCTTTTGGAAAAGAAAAAAAAAGTACAAAATTCTCATAGGTAAGGGCTCTGCAGTTGTATGCAGTTACATTAGTAAAATGTTAGTTAATTTCCTTCTTTTTGTGTTTTACACAGGTTGACACATGGCGATAAAACATCGGGAGATTAAAAAAAAAATAACCTGGAGAAAAAAAAACATCGACAATGGAGCAGAAAATCAACAGTGAACTGTCCCTTTGCATACACTCACATTAAAAAAAAACAAAAAAACATCAAGTTTCCATCTTCATTTTGGCCCGTAAATAAAAGCACTTTAGTTTGTGTTCACTTGCCATTTTTTCTACATTGGGGGGAAAAAAAGTGTTAACCAAGTCCTCCTTTTCCTCCTACCGTGTAGCATTATCCAGCCAGCGGGACCCCCATCAGCCTACCAATGGACCTCCCATCCCCCTCCACCCAAAAAACAAAACAAAAAAAAAACATCCTCCCTAACCCACAGTGGGCTGTTGTCTTGTGCCTTGATGTAGAACAATTTACATGATTGTACAGTTCTGTGAAGTATGGTGGTGGTGGTGGTGGTGATGATGATGATGATGATGATGATGGTGGTGATGATGATGATGATTGTTGTCAATAATATTGTTGGGGGGGAAAAAAAGACAAGATTTGAGCAAGATTAAAATGTATTTTAGATACACTCGGGTTTGCGGTACTTGTGTTGTTCTTTTTAGCACATGATTATATTTGGACATGTTGTAAACACTGTCAATCAACTAGAAATAATCAAACAATAGGATTAGAACACCACCGGAAGAGAGCGATGAGTATGTGTGTGTGTCTGTATATGTGTGTGATTTGTAACACACACACACACACACACACACACACACACACACACACACACACACACACACAGGTGGGATATGTTTTGCAAAATATGGGCAAATAACAAATGCATGGGTAATTGCTGAATAAAAAAGGCAGTGCAACCTGCAATCAGACTGGTTCTTTTGGCGCTTCTGAGGACAAACAGTCTTCAATATAGATCGGGGTACATTTTATTGTAGTTGTCATAGGTTTCGTGAATAATCTTTACAAGCATTTTATTTGTAATTATTTATTTTATTACGAGTGTGAAGGAACGTTTCAGCATAGTTATGTATTGGCCTATATTTTTAAACAAAATTTTCAACATAGATATGTTTTAACGTACATTTTATCCTATTATTGTATCTATGAACCTCCACTAGCTTAGACACAGCATTCTGATTACTATTGCATTTGTAGGATATGAATTAAACAGCAAAATGTACCCTATTTGTATCCATCTCAGGGGGCGGCCATTTTGACATTTGCTCTCAACTGAAAATGACATCACAGGTGATCAGGGCTCAGGTAACGGCCAATCACAGCTCACCTGTTTTCTGGTCATCTTGAGAGCCATTTGGCATTGTGAAGTCACTTTCAATCGACAGCCAGTGGCAAAATGGCCGACTAAAAACAGGTGAATTTTGCTGCTTAATTAATAATCAAACAATATGAATCAGAATAGACTGAAGGGACCAGATAGAACATATTATTATAACGTTATATTGTAACATTTCTGACTTGGTTTCCCCATCAATTTTAACTAACATATCTTTTATGCAACAATTTAGCATGTCCGATCGAATCTTTTAATGTAGTTGTTTTAACCAACGTCAGTGTAGTTCATGAAGATGTTTTTGACAAAACAATTTCCAAGCTAATTGGCAACTCGCTCCATTATTGTGTCAATTGTTTTTGAGTCAAAACTAAACTAAAATGACAAAATATCAGCAAGAGCTTTCGTCATTAATTCCTACAATTGCACTTTAAACTGTAATGTCGATTGAGCACTGGTCAACACATTCCAAACAAATTAAGCAAAGACCCGATTATTGGATGCTTCTAAAATATTATTCTGAGTGATAATCCTGTGGTGTGGGGTGTGTTAGCAGTATTATTTCCTCCATGATAAACGAACTTATACAACCATTCTTTCCTCGTCATGCAGGGGTCTCTCAAATTTTGGATTAAACAAAAAGAAAGTGTTCTGTGTTCTATGCTAATTTCGGTATTTAAAAATGTGCCAAAAAGGACAATAAATTCAACTATGCAAATTGTTTCGGATGAAAAACGGCTCAGCGTCAACCGAGGCGGACAAATCGAGGGGTTGTTGGCAACAGTGTTTGCGCACTGAGCGTCATAACGAGCCCATTCATTAAGGGCGAAACGGCAAAGCAGGATATAGTTGATCCTATTTGGGACCACGGATGAGTGGTGAGTGTGCGCCCGAGTGAGGGCAGGGAATTTGTCGCCATCTCTTCCGAAACCAGAGCGTGAGGATGTTATTTTGTAATGTGAGGAACATGTTTAATAACGCCCTTGTGGGGGTAATGCTCACTAATTGAAATGATATGCATGATTAGTATGTGGAGCGAAGCTATTGGCGTATATCAGACGGGGGTGCACGTCAGACCCCCTTCTCCCAGTTTCAGTGTTCAGATGGAAAAAAAGCCACAACCACACTGGGATCCGCACGGAAACTTTTCCTGGACGACACAGGCAGAGGAAAAATATGTACATATGATCTCTGCGTTTGGGTACTTTGTGGGGATGAGCGGGGGGCAGCTGGAAGGCAGCTTGGTGGGTCATTCCTTCGGGTTTGGAGCTTGTGTCTCCCAGTAGTGATGTAACAAGGCTACAATGGCGCTGCTAATGGCACACAGATGCACTGCAAGGGGCCCCTCCACATGGAAATGAGACGGTTTGTGGAGAAGAAATCAACCCCCCCCCACCCCCCACCGAATTGAACCCAAAACTGACGACCCCGGTCTCATTCCCAGAATCCAACACCACAGAAGCCATTTCCAAACCAAAGCGCTTTGGAAGATGCGTGCTTCTCTACTGCTTCTGGAAATTCACTTCATGTCTCCCTGAACCAAGCCATAATTGACTACTGATTGACTTCTGTGTTAAAATACAAACACACAAGACACAAATTGCAATAGGCAACAATAGGTTGAAGGGTTGACAGCAGGACACGTTTTCATCGACTGCGACATTATACATTGCGGTTCGTATAAGTCAACCCATGTCTTGCTTGCGTCCTCACCCAGCTTCTTGAACGGAGCCACATGCCCCTTTGTGTTGAAAGCGATAGTTACTCGCGCACTACACGGATCTAATTATCTTGATGCGGCAAGCCGCAAAACGCGGTGTGTGTACGCACAATCCATTGAGTTCTGTCTGAGAGGGATAGGCGATGAAATGCCGTGACGCCAATGTGCAGGGAAGGCAGTAGCTTTGGGACGAAGGATTAACACTTTGACATGTTTGCATCAAGTTGTAGACTTCAGTTCGATTCACCATGGTACCTTTTGGATCAGTAAACCCAGATGAGGCTTGTGTATTGGCAAAATGGGACAAGCTCCATTAGCTAAATTTAGATGAGATGACCCCATAGCAGTGCCTAGTAACAAACACACAAAAAAAGGCCGGTTAATTACCAAACAAAGACATTGTTCCCACATGGCCACCTACTGTAACCTCTGTAGATAAGGTACCGACATGAGGGTTAAATTTATGTTTCCGACCTACCTGTCTGTCATTGTCCCAGAGGCTTACCTTGCCATGCATCTAATTATCTACATTCACCAAGCTGCAAAGGCTGTGTGAATGGTCTGCCCCGCTTTGATGAGTTCTGTCTCATAAGTGACTAAATCCAGTGTCTCTTCTTCTGCCACTAGCCCCTTCCACACAGGACATCCGGAGCTCTCATTCCCCTTAAATTCAGTACAGGGGACGCATGGCGGAAGCAAAACGAACTTGCCGAACTGAGCACAGGAGATTGCCACAAAGCAAGTACATTCATGAGGAACTGCAAGATTTCCACTTGCGGATGATGTGGGGGTGGCCGCTGCAAGGCTTTGCACCCGCCGATCGTGCATCTGTATGTCTCACACACACACACACACACACACACACACACACACACACACACACACACACACACACACACACACCCACTGCTGGACGTCCTTTGGAGGACGAAGCCTACAAATATGGGCACGCCCTAACTCACCTTGATCCAGATCCTAGCCAAAATGTAATTGCTTCCTTCTTGGAAGTCGTACTAATAGATGGCAGACCATATGAAGGCCTAATCTGCATTCCAAACCACCATCAATCTTCCTTTGCGGCATTTGAGGGATGTTTTCCACCATGTTCGCCCTGGCACACTTTTCTGAAAAGTCCGGAAAAAAATAAATAAATAAATGTGTGTGTGTGTATTAGCAGCCCGCGCAGCGTGCGTGTGTGTGTGTCTCACACACACACACACACACACACACACACACACACACACACACACACACACACACACACACACAACTGGTTTTACCGCCATCAATATTAGAATATATGTATTAAAATACATTAAAGATGATCATAAGAATGCATTCAATATTTTTTTTTCCACAATGATTAAGAGGGTCTGATGCACACTAATGTCATAGGAATGAAATATGATGACATCCACCACACATATCAACGGAGCGCAGAATCGGAAACCGAATTGGGGTACAGAGTGTAAATTCAGCGATAATCGTTCCTTTGCGAATTTTCCATTGATATGTGTTGCCGGATCATTGGCAAACATTGCTCAAAATGTGGATTTTGGCATAAAATTGGAATTTGGTAGTATGTGCAGGAATCTAACTCTTCCGATAAAGTCGAGCGAGTTGCCAGTACTCTCCAGTCAAATTTAACAGGAAATGAGGTAAAACTTGAGCGGAAATTAGTTGTTTACGTTGGCATTTGCGCTAATATTTATAGACTCGACAGTAGGTGTGAGTATGTGGCCATGAAATTGTTCAGTCACTACGTAAGCTAATGCAAACCAGCTGACTGCCGTTTACACTTGAACTTTCCTTCGCCGTCTTAAAAAGCACCCCGGCCCCGCTTTTTCCACACGGGTGTCACTTCCAAGCGTGAAAGCAGACACCAGTGGGACAAGTCAAGGCAGTACAGGTCCAGAAACAACAAAGGGTCTAACCCGACGTCCTCTCACCTTCCCCACAATCCCCCACTCGTCTGTGTGCGATTCTTCCCCAAGAAGGCAAACAAGCTTTTCGCTTGGTCCGAAATGGGCTTTCATTCTGCTGCTGCAGCACTTTCTCTCCATCTTTTGCAGCCCCTCCCTTGCATACTTCTCCTCCCCTTTGCCCACACATCTGGAAGCCAGCTCCTCATTTATTTGTTTTTTTTCCTTCTTTCTCCAGAGTTTTGCTTTAAAGAAAAAAAAAAGTTCTTTACCTTGTCATGCAATTACATCTCAGTATGCAATTATACTGAGACTTTCTCCCGCCCCCTTCAATCTGCAGCAGTGGCCGTGCTCACATGGCAGTAGACGGAAATAGAATAGCTTCATGTCTGTTTGGACCGTGGCCCGGCACAAACTATGCTCCGCCGCTTGACTGTCAGTAGGATGTTGGCTTTCTCCAGCCAGGCCAGTCTGTGCAGTGCTTTACTCCGGCAGGGCTACATAACGCGGCTGCGGGACGGAAAAAACTGAAGGAGACAGAAGAAGAACTAAGTGGTGTTGCTATGAATCCCGGCGGGAACACTTAACCTTTTTAGACCACAGAGCGGGGGTGAGTTCAATGAAAAGTTCATTCAAGTATGTCTGGAGCGGTGACTTCTGCAGATTGTAAACATAATACGGATGTTAGCTCATGTGTGTCATGCCTGTCTGGAACTTTTGAGGAAATTTCAGATGTTTTGAACATTTTTAAAAGAAATTTTGATCCAATTTTACACTCAACTCAAAGGTAACGTCTCATTTATGTTAAAACTGTTGTTTTTACTTTTTACCAATGACTTGTATGACCAAGCATGTTACTTATTTTTGTACTTAAAACATCGCCTGTAAATTGCATTATGCAATGTTTCCCAAACTTTATTGAACCAAGGTACATAATTTACATTTGAAAAATCTAATGGCACAACCGAGCAAAAATGTCAGAAAAAAAAGTATGGATTCTGGAATAATCACGATCTTGTGTCATTTTACTCATCAAAGTACGAAATGTGTGAAAGAAAATAGACATCTTATATAATCTTAGGCCCGATTAAGTGGAATTGGATCATTTTCCACCTCTCGTGTGAAACAAAGAAAAAAGTAAACTTATCTGCCAATTTCTGAAAACGTGTGTGTGAGCCCTTGTGAATTTTGCCAAATTGTGGTGACGCAGTTTTTTAAATTAGCTGGAGATATTGCACAGTTAAATTAGCAGCTGGGGTTTCTGGCAAGCGCTATTCATCTGCAGCCCGGATGTGAAGGAGTGATTATCATGTGTCTCCGATAAAATCACAAAAAGACGCTACATTTGTGGCTAGTTTTTTTTTAAACTAGTTGCTAGAGGGGTTGGAAAAGTTGCAAAGTCCAGCAACAAAGTCATCAAGTTGGCAACACTAAGTAGGCCTTGCTTTGTCGCAACGCCCTCGCTGCGCATCCAGTTGTCATGGTAAAGAAAGCTGTGCTCAGCATTTGTTTGAGACCGAACCACCCCTCCAAAACAGAATGATTTCAAGTGCTGTGTGACAAGTGGAAGTGCACCGTAATTTAGGCATTAATTTGGAATTAAACACTTTGCTGCAGTCCAAATGAAGCCTAAATGTAGACAGTGTAGAGTCATGACATGATTTCATCCGCCAGCACAAAATCTGGGTGTATGTGCACTTGGCGCGTACGTCACAAAGCGGCGCTTTACCGTGGGAGACGTCGGCGGCAGACTCAGTGGTGGACTCAATTAGGAGAGTGCGGGTATAAATTTTTGCGTAGGTGGGTACAATATGGCAGCCGGCGCGGCTCTCCAAGGCCATGGAGCAAATCAATACCAGACCGCTTGAATATGAACGCCGGCTCTGAGCTTCCCCATATCGTGACCTGGTTCTTTCAGGGGGTGGGGGGGGCTTTAGCTCTACATCTTAACCCCACTTTTTTTCTTCCGTCCATATATTAATTGGACTGAAATCTACTGGGCTGGCGCTTGTCGCGAGAGAGAAGCCAAAGGATGCTTCATGACTACTTTCCCTTTTGACTGAGATGAATCATAATGAGTAAATGTCAAATTGATTACGGTACAAACCTCCATTTTAAGGTAGACTAACTTTTTGATTAACTCAAAACTGAATTTTAGTGACAAACGACTGGTATGTCTTGTTTTTTGAAATAACATTTTAAGATAATAGTATTGAATTTAATTGTTACTATTTTGTTTTTATTGAATATTATGCAATTGTATTTGTGATTTAGTTTTATGTTTTTAATTGATCTATTTCAGTTTAAATAGTTAATTTGATTAATTTTAATATAAATATACTTAACAGTATTCTATTTTATTTAATATCAATTTTTTGAAAATTATTTAATTTGCTGTTATCTCATTTTAGATACAGCAGTTTGGTTGAATAATATCAAATTACATTGGTCTAAATTCAATTGTATTTTCCAATTTTAATATTCTATTTTATTTGCTTTTATTTACTTCAATTTATAGTATTATATTTATTATTGTTTACCTTGATTTAAAAGTGCCTTTTACTTCATAAATTTGTATCTGGTTTGTATTTTAAGATAAGATATCCTTTTTATATTTTAGGCAACATTTAATATATTGTAATCTAATTTTCTCTTATTTAAATTTAATTTAGTTTTCTTATTTATTCCATTCTGTTCAACTGTAATGGTACATTGTAATATTTATTACTTTATTTCATCTAATATCATTCAGTTGTAATTGTCTTTGTAATATAATAATTTCAAGAGTCAGGTTTTGTTTTTACATTTTTCTCTTTAACGGGTTATTTTTCCACTTCAATGGCTGTACATAACGGATTAATTGAAGCGATTCAAAAAATACTGTACATACATTTGAGCAGCTCAAATGAGTCAGGACAGAGCATTTTGTCGACATAAACGATTACATTCTCACATGTGCTAAGAACAAAGTGCTCATGTGACTTTTTTAAAATAGCATGCATCTGCAACATTGGACATCTGCGTAGTCTTTTTATTATTTACTCCTGTTGACCCCCATGTGGTTCCCATTTGGCATTTGCTGGAGATGCTGCCGGGAAACGCCCCAAATGAAAGCTCCTTGAAGTGGTGTGTGTGTGTGTGTGTGTGTGTGTGTGTGTGTGTGTGTGTGTGTTGCTGAGCTTAGATCTCGCCCAGTGGATCCTCCGGCCCATACGTCCCTGTTTTAGCCGTCTCGCCTAAACTGTCCCACCCAAGGGATCGGCCAACCTATTTCACCCCCACCGACTAATCCTGTGTGTGTGTGTGTGTGTGTGTGTGTGTGTGTGTATGTTGCTGAGCTTAGATCTCGCCCAGTGGATCCTCCTGCCCATACGTCCCTGTTTTAACCGTCTCGCCTAAACTGTCCCACCCAAGGAATCGGCCAACCTATTTCACCCCCGCCGACTAATCTCAAGCAGCTGTGTTTGCCACTTGATGATCATGAAAGCGGGCTACATACATACTTTTGTGCATCCCCCAGTTGTGAAATGTGAGGTCTGTCGCATTTTAACAATTGGCACGTATGCACCCGGATTTCACGTACAGTACATGCTTGAATCTGTGTGCCGTGGGTCTTGACGGATGCTCAGCCGACTATAACTCACACGTATGAAATGGTACTTCTAGTCGCTGGGTCCTCCTGACATGTAACTCTGTGGCCGATGCCATTTGTGAGCCACTCCATCTGGCTTGAGGTATCTGTTCGACATAAATGCGAGAGAGGTCATTGGCCGCTTGATTGAGAGGCCAGAAAGATGAGGATAATGGACAGTGCCACAAAAGCCTGTTGGACACTTTGGTACCATTTTGACCATCTTAGACAAAAGCTCAGTATGGCAGATAAAAGATGTTGACGACCAAAAATGGACTGCAATTTAGGACGCAACGGTGTGCAGGAAACCACGTTCGGTCTTTACCGTGGTTATAAAATTCTGCCTGATGTGTTTTCTGCCTAAATGGGTTGCAAAACAAATTGAATTGTGATGGTTTCTTGATATGCGGCGCGTTTGGTGTAAGAATACATGGCCACACTCAGTTGTCACCGTACGTAAGTGTTTCAGATTTATCTCAGAGAAGTGTTAGTTATACAGATTTTTAGTGTAGTTTCAAGTTTACTAAACAGGAAGTTAGCGAGCAATAAACTACGTTATGACTGAATTACAAATTTGGGTTACATTGCCGCCTTGGGAACAGAACTCCGTCGTCGCCTTAGGAACAGAACTCTGTTGGAAACCAAGCCCCCCCCCGTACTGCCTAAAGCATATCTCAAAGCCTTGACGTCCACTCACATCCATGATCTTTGCCAAAGAGAACAAACCACAGTCCATCTGGGAAAGTCGAATCATGAAATTAGAAGACTCCCAAGGGGTTTTACAGTAAAACGCAGCTATCCACTGCAGTCATTTAGGTTTGGGTGGATGATTGTGGCTTCTTCAGAACAATAAAGATCATAAAGAAGAACTCAAAGCATAAAAAAAATGCTTGAAAAGGGGAAAAAGTGAAATGTGTGCTCTTATTCTATAGGCAGGCTTCACGTGCTCCACGTTTAACTTGGGAGGCTCCAGACAGGTTTCTCTAGAGTTTACGACTCAAAAGCCCCTGGCAAGGTTTTAAAGACGAGCATGGAGCAGCATTAATATTGTTTTTACATGACATATTTTATTGCAGTAGCCTCTCACTGTGTGCACTGGAACTGCCAGTATTTTCCCAGCGCAGAAACAAAGGTGAAAAAAAATATGTGCAGACAAAAAAAGCAACTTTCACATTCTTAAAACTCATTAAGTCACAGTTTGGACCGCAGAATCTTTGAGCATCAGTACCGAAGACACAGGGAACGATAATGACTGCATTGAAAAGGAATCTTACCTTACTTTTATATTCGCTGTGTGGACAGATCGTCCTTAAAAATTTTTACTATTCGTGTTAAGAGCATTGACCATACCTTTTTAACAAGCATCTCAAAAAGAAACTGCTCTGGAAAGTTTGGAGATCAGTTGGATTATGACAGTCTTTTCGAAAGTTGATAAGGACCATGTCCAAATTTTGCCTTGAAGAAGATGATGATTGGTCTTCTTGTAACTGACCAGTAGAGAGTTGATAAGACCCCGAGGAAATGTGATCTCTAACCTGAAATTCACAAAAAGTGTCACCAGTCAAAACATCCAAAACTATTGATATCTTCCTTTGACCGTGAAAGTTTGAAGATTGACCAAAAGATGACGAACCAAAAACTCTCAACAAGCATCTCTGCTCAACGCATCTAAAACGATCGATACCTTGGCTTGGATTGGCAAAGCGGCTACAGAGATGTAAGTACCATGAACAAAATCTCATTTTTGACCTCAAATTGTCACCATGGACCATAAATTCTCAGCCAGTGTCTTGGTGACTCGGTGACAATGACAAGGTGTGACCATCTTGGATCCAAACTTCTAAAATCAATCGAGATCAACAAGGGAGACAATACCCATTAGATGTTTGAATTCAGCTACTGCTATCACAGCACGTGGTTGAAACTCAACATGGCTAGCAGTTTAACGAGACACTGTTAAAGTCACAACAAAGCCTCTA